GATGCTGCTGGTGTGTTCACTCCTGCCTCTGTGGTAGCCCTCACGCCGGCACCAACGTAACCCTTACATCATTGGTCTGCTCCTGACTGGCAGGCCCCTTTGTGGAGAGTCTGGAGGAGGTCCCCGAGGAGTTCCGTCACGTGGTGTGGACTCAGGGCATGAGGAGGCTGGCCGTGCTGGTGGGACGGGCACTGCGCTTCGGCGAGTCCGTGCTGCTGGTGGGAGACACTGGGTAAGCTCCGCCTTAAGCTCCGCCCACCCCTGCCTCCAAGTGCATGTGCCGTGTAGAGAAGAGCTTGAGCTGGAAATGACCAAGGTGAGGCTGATGTGAGGTTTCTGCTCAGCTGTGGAAAGACCACCATCTGCCAGCTGTTCGCTGCCCTGGCGGGACAGAAGTTCTACTCCCTGAACTGCCACCTGCACATGGAGACGTCGGACTTCCTGGGCGGGCTTCGGCCAGTGCGGCACGCGGGGATGGAGGAGGTAGTGCTCTTCCTAAATATAGGCAAACACTGGCTTAGTGATTTTAAACTGGTGTAAAAGCTCCTCCCTACCACAGGAGGGCGCCGAAGATACTCGCCTCTTTGAGTGGCACGACGGCCCCCTGGTCTTGGCCATGAAGGAGGGCGGGTTGTTCCTGATGGATGAGATCTCACTGGCAGACGACTCGGTGCTGGAGAGACTCAACAGGTGAGCCGACACAGCAGGGCGACGGCCAAGCCTGCCCCCCCCTATCGCGCTGTAGAGGCCCAGCCGACACAGCTGGCTGCCCCATTGCCATGCACTTTAGCTCTGTGTGGCGCCCCCTAGTGGCCTTCCGCTGATGGCGCTGTCCGTGTCCGCAGCGTGCTGGAGACTGAGAAATCACTGGTTCTGGCCGAGAAGGGCAGCGGGGACGAGGACGACGTGGAGCTCATCACAGCGGGGCCGCGGTTCCGCCTGCTGGCCACCATGAATCCCGGCGGCGATTTCGGGAAGAAGGAGGTGAGCCGGGTTCGAGGCGAGACCCCCACCTCCACCGTTGAGGAATTCAGACTGAAGTGCTGGGTCGCTCCTCACCGCTTCATGAGTGTCTTTTCTGTGCCCCCCCCCCACCCCGCAGCTATCACCCGCGCTGAGAAACCGCTTCACTGAGATCTGGTGCCCTCAGAGCAACACTCGAAGCGACCTGGTCAAGATCATCCAGCACAACCTGTGTCCTGGTCTCTCCTTGGACCTGCAGGACCACCGAGGTGTGTGCTGGCCTTTGTTGTCACGTGACCAAGCGCCCCCCCACCGCCAGATTCCCTACCTTCCA